TTCTATCTTGCTTCTGCAGACTGCTACGTAACTTTGGCAAAACTATAGACCGTCTAGCGATAGTTTTCACGCTTGCATACTTTTAATGAATATATTATAAGGAAGGCCAATTGAAAAAACATTATAAAACACGTAACTGGGTAATATGAATCTAAAAACAAATGAAATAATGATGGATTTGATCCATATATCAACATACGTATACGCAATTCATTTGAAACAGAAAACTCGTGTGACGTGACGAATTCAATTTGAAACAGACAATTCCTGTGACGCACATATGTCAAATTTTTATAAAACACTCTCGTATATCAATGCACATTGCAGTTTACTTTGTCAATATAAAAATAATTAGAAGTATGCCGCCAGTGATCTATTTGTCGAGGGCAGTATACAAAATATACTCGTCACTTTTCTGCTGAAGAAAAATGAGAAACTGCTTCTTGTAATCCTCCCATCTTTCGCCCTCTCTTCGTGGTTCACCAAACTGCTTGAATTACTTTGGTATACCAAAAGTGGTCGTGGTGTGACAATAACTGTGTAAGTCCAGTTTTACGCCTATGGTGTTTTAGTCCAATACTCAGACTTCATATTGAATGTATCGAACCGTTTACCTATACGGTATTCTTTTCATTTTTACAACTACGAATTAGTTCGCTCATGCCCGCTACGGTGCTCGGTGCTAGGGTGTACGATGACAGATGCAGCGATTGCAGATCTGCGACGGATTGCTTTGAGCGCTGCCCCCTGTGGGCTTATAGCAGCTAAGGGGACTGAGTTTACCTGGGTTGTTTAAGACAGTGGAGAAAGCGGAATGTCCACAGGTTTTGCGATCGGATCGGTGAAATAACAAGATCTCGGGATCATTACTATTGTTTCCGGATATATAAAAAAAATCCCTGCTGACCACTATGGAACTTTCGAAAAACCATAGGCCGCCTTCGGGAAAATTTCTCACATTCTTGGTACACCCTGCATACTATAATATCTGCCAACTATACTAAATCATGGTATTTTTTACACTCATGCATTGTACAACTTAAGAAAAATAAATTATTTTTAGCTTGGTCACATGCGTAAATCCAAATATTTTTTTACGATTACATCAGGAATAATTTATAGGTATTTATAGGCGTTGCGAAGCCCGGTGCCGAATTAGGAAACCCAAATCGGGCTTCCTAAAATTAAGCGTGTTTTTGGCAAATTTGTAAAAACTAGCGAAATCTGAATCGTTGGGACTTGACAACCAGTTGGGTTAAAGGTTTCGATTTGGCGCTAAAGCTCAAAAGCCGCTAAATTTTTTAGCAATAACATAAATGAAATGTAAAGATAAATGTGTGGGCTATGTTTTAGGCAAATTAAAAAAAAAACTGAGATCGGAGTTTTTTCTAAGCTATTGAAAATAACCAATTTTTTTACGGGTTTTCTTTAAGAATTTTCTAAAACTTTGTTTAAACGTAGGTACAACTATTGGTAATTTATTTCCAAAATTTGAACTCGAAATATGCAGTAATAAAGATTATTAATTGATTTAAAGGTGAAATATTAAACAGCCCCCTTAATTTCTGTAACCAAAGGTACAACAAATTCCGCACTTAGCATGGGTTACCAAGTGACGCAAATGTTAGTTTAGCTCTTGTAGTAAAGATGGTAGCATTTGATTTGATTCAAAAATAATATGTATAATGAATTTGCTTGAAGGAAGCGGGTCCGCCTAAGAAGTTTACGTTTGTAATAATGTGTTTTGTACATTATCTAAAATGTATGACTTGACTTTAATGTCAAACATTGATTTATGATGCGAAAAATTATCAAAGTAATAACAAAACAAATAATAATAAAAATAAAACAAATATTTTATCAATAAAGGGCGGAATATATGCACGTCTATGCAGTTTCTTAAACTTCACTGCTTAGACTAAAGCTTGGCATAAGTCTTGATAAAACACCTCATAATTTAAAATTCAAGTCAGCTGAACATAATATATAACCAACAACATTCTCCAGCAGTTCTCAGCCGAAAAAATTGAAAAAAAGTTTGAAGATAAAATAATGAATAAACGCATAAAAAATTCAATAGCAATAATACGAAAATCGACCGAAAAGCACTTATCATAGTTTTCTTTTCGCGCAGATCATCTTCAAGACTCTAGAACGTTTGTTTCTTTTAAGTGTTCTACCATAGGTTCTGCCCATGATGAAACTCACAAAAATTTGATAATCGCTGTTTATTGAATAGCACAAACACACTTTTTTCACGAATCGATACAAACAATAAATTGCATTTTCAAGGGTTACCTTATTTAAATACAATCTGAAGGGTAATTAGAATTAAAGGTGTGATAATATTGTACCGATATAATTGCCTATAATTAAGAGGGTTATTTTGTAACTCTTAACGACATCGTTAACGGTTGTTAGGCAACAATCGTCGTAATTTTAAATAACCAAAAACGATCGTTTTCTTTCACTTTAAAAATATCCCATAAATACCTATTCATTTAAAACCATTAATGTGTACGCACATAAAATAATATTTTACCATTTTTTTATTATTTAGCTATTCTTTTCTGAGCCACTATAAAATATAAAATTATTAAAAATTGGTAAATTTTAGGTCTTCAAGAGAAAACTATACAAGGTGTTTCTTAAGTAATCTAAAATATTCAAGGAAGCGATTTTTGAGGCATTTTTTAAGAAAAAAACTTCATATGAACCTATGTCCTAAACGTCTTCACTTTTGAGATACAGAAACAGAGAGAAAAAGATGTTTCCATTATATTCGTAATACCGCTTAAGCTATCCTCATGAAATTTGGTACGCAATTTACTCAACGTATTCATGCAAAGGGGTTTTGTGTTGTAAAACTTTTTTTGACTTTTACTTCCAGTGGGGTCCGTACGGCATGTGCATTGAAAATTTTTCTTAAAAATGCGTGAAGAATATCACAAAAATACAGGTTCTTTATATGACCACGGTACCGCGCGTGAAAACGTTGTTGCCTCTTGGACACATCGGCCGAGTCTTCCTTTTTTGGTCGGCCCGGGGTGTTGCCAAATACACCACACTCCTCACTCCTAGATTTTCCTCTAGGTTGTGTAATTCTCCAAATGTCTTGAAAGGCGCCTCCTTGAATACTTTAGATTACTTAAGAAACACCCTGTGACAGTGTAGTGACTTATTACAATTTAAAAGGGAAAATGAACATATTTGTTTGTTTTTCTTCCAAGAAACATGTCACGCACCATTGCTTTTTGCTAGTTTTGGCCACTGTTTTCTCAAATTAGCTTTTCGAGGTAAACTAATAAACAGGCCAACAAAATATAAAAAAAAATTTTTCGTGCCCGAGATCTAATAACTGAATTTAGATATACCGAATGTGCTGATTCTAAAACTAGCATCAGATTTTTTTCTATCACCTCTAGTTTTTGAGTTGGAGACTAATTGAATTTAGTTCTAATAAAAAGCAAAAATAAATAAATCAACATCTCTTTAAAATTCAAAATAGGAATTTGATACTCAAAACTGGGATTTAATTAGCCAAATATATCTGAAATTGTCCGCAAAGCAATAATATTCCTAGACCTCGTTAATTCTCTGATATGTCGACGGACTGGGTTTCCGAAAGAAAACAGTAAAGTTAATTACTTCCACTTTAATATCACAAAAATATAGGTTCTTTATATGACCACGGTACCGCGCGTGAAAACGTTGTTGCTTCTTGGACACATCGGCTGAGTCTTCCTTTTTTAGTCGGCCCGCCGTGTTGCCAAATACACCACACTCCTCCCTCCTAGATTTTCCTCTAGGTTGTGTAATCCTCCAAATGTCTTGAAAGGCGCCTTGTTCTGGCCGGCCGGGGAGTAACTGGAGTCCCTGAAACCTGCTCTGGCGTGTTCTCTTCTAAATAGGGCCCATCAGCAGACGGTGAAGGGATAACGACCCTTGGAAGAATCTCTGAGGATTCCGCGAATCGCGAAACGTCGTAGTTCTGACCGTCCGGTCTCTTCGGTGAGTGTACGCGGACGAATTTCATCGGTATGTCTGCGTGTGATTTTACCATCGGGAGTTTTCACCTTGTAGCTGAGCGGTCCCGTTGATTCTATTACCGTTGACGGTAACCACCTTTGACCGGGAGCGTAAGACCTTACAAACACCGGATCATTCTCTTGGAAAGATCGAGGGGTTTCATTAGAAGAGTATTTGTCTTCTTGCTTGGCTGACATTTCTTTGGTGAAATCTGGTTGCATAGGGTCTAAAAGCGTCGCTAACTTTCGTCCCATCAAGACATCTGCTGGAGATCGACCTGTTACGCTGTGGGGTGTAATGTGCTGAGTTAGTAGGTATCTTGACAAAGCTAACTGGACGTTCTCGTTCCCCATTTTCTTGAGTGCATTTTTTACATTTTGCACCATACGTTCTGCTTGTGCATTACTGCTTGGATGGTAGGAAGCGATCAAACCTTGACGAATCTGGTTCGTTTTGAGGAATTGTTGAAATTCTTCGGATGTAAAAGCTGTACCATTTTCCCTCATGACTTTGATAGTCGCTGCACTTGACGTGTTCGGGACCAAACGAACTTCCAGCCATTTAGAGAATGAATCAATTACAATTAAAAATGATTTACCATTCATGGGGCCTGCAAAGTCCACGTGAAGTCGGGTCCAGGGTGCACGAGACCATTCCCATGGATGTACCGGAGCTTTTCTAGGCATATTTCGTGCTTCCTGGCACTCGGAGCAAGTTTTGATTTTATTTTCAATGTCACGGTCAAGGTTTGGCCACCAAACGTATGAGCGAGCAAGAGCCTTCATTTTTACCATGCCTGGGTGTCCAGAATGAAGAAGATCGATCACACTTTTCCTCCCTCCTGGAGGTGTTATGACCCTGGTTCCCCAAAGCAAACAATTTCGGTAACAACTTATTTCGTTCTGTGGTTGAAAGAAAGGCTGAAATTCGTCAGGGAATTTAGATCTTTCCATCGGCCAACCTTTCCATACCTATTGTAAAACTTTGGATAGAATTGGATCCTTGGCTGTTTCACTGGCGATACGCTTAGCATCGACCACGCTTTCCGGGATGTTCTCAAACATCAAAACATCGGGTGCATTGGGTGGTTCTGGAGTGTTTAATTTCTGGGGTAAACGACTAAGCGCGTCGGCGTTGCCAATTCTTGCGCCTGGAACCTGGTGTAAATTGTAGTCATACTCTGTGAGCATCAGAGTCCATCTTAACAATCTCAGTGAAAGGATTTCTGGGATTCCCTTCCTCGGGCTAAAAAACCTACGTTCGGATGCAGAATTTTCGTCCATATAGGTAATCGTGGAACTTCTTAACTCCTACAATGATAGCGAGAGCTTCTTTGTCCAGTTGTGAGAAATTTCTTTCTGATGAGGATAATGTGCGACTATGGTACGCCACTGGGACCTCTCTACCGGAGTCGTCAGGTTGACTGAAGACACATCCAACCCCAAATGAACTAGCATCGCAAGTAAGGAAGAGCTGTTTAATGTCCTAGTATGGGCTCTGTAATTAGGATATTCTTTAGTAAGTTTTTCATGTTCTGCATGCCACTGCCAAGAGACCTTTATGTAGCAGATAATGCAATGGATTAGCAATCGTTGCTTTGTCTTCAAGAAAAACGTGGTAGAAATTTATCAAACCGAGGAAAGCTTGCAATTCCGTTTTGTTGGTTGGCGCAGGCGCGTTAACAATTGCTTTCACCTTCTCTTTGGTCGGTCGAATTCCCTCTGCACTAATACTAAAAACCTAAAAATTCTATAGATTTCGTGTGAAAAATGCATTTATCACGGCGTAGATTAAGTCCATCTTCTCGAAAACGGGTAAGTACTTCACGCACTTTACGGTCCAAATCTGTTTCGGAATGTCCAACTATGAGAATGTCGTCGTAATATGGAAGAACTCCTGGGATTCCGGTGAGTCTCATGTCCACGAAACGTTGGAAAATTTGGGGTGCCACGGAGACACCAAATTGTAAGCGTTTGCTCCTAAAAGGTCCTTTGTGTGTGATAATGGTCTGTGCGTCTGCAGCTTCTTGATCTACACTCAACTGCAGGTAAGCTTGAGCCATGTCTAGTTTTGCGAATATTTTACCACCTGCTAGAGCTGCTAATATATTTTGAACAGATGGAACTGGAGAGGGGTCTGTACGTAACGCCTAGTTTATGGTACTTCCGTCACCATTGTCCTGGGCGACAACAACAATGGGAGTGGCCCGTTTTGGATGAGTCACTGGCTCCAGCACACCTTGATCGACAAGTCTATCCAATTCACGATCAATCTTGTCCTTTAAAGCGAACGGTATCTTTCGGACTTTGAGAACGATAGGCTTGATGTTTGGATCTAAGGAAAAACTTATGGGAGGCCCTTTGAATTTCCCTAGAGTTGACTCCAATACTTCCGGGTATTCCTTGACAAGGTCTGATTTATGTGATTTATTCCTCTAATAGTTAAACCTAGCCTTCCAAACCAGTTTCTTCCAAGCAGGCTTGCTCGGTTGCCTTCAGTAACAATAACTGGAAGGGTAGCACTTTTTTGTCCCCGTTGTACGTTCACGTAACACTCGCCAATTGTCGAAATTAGCTGGTTTTGGTAATCTAGTAGAATTAAGTTACATGGTTTCACTTTTGGAGGATTGTCCCTGACAAGTTTTTGAAAGGTTGATTTGAATATGATGGAATATCCAGCGCCCGAATCGATTTCCATTCTTATCGGTTTCTTATTCAGGAGGACGTCTACTAGATATTTACCAGTGATGCTGTCCGAATTCACATTGTTAAGCGAAAAATGGTACACCTGGTCTTCCGAACTGTGCTCATTTTGTGGCACGTTTTTGAAATTGCTTTCACTAGATTGTTGGTTCACTTTTGGTTTTTGTTTTGAATGTTTTTTCTTTGAGAAACATGCATGTTCTACGTGTCCTATTTTGCCGCAAAATTTGCACTTTGCGTTTTTGTAAACACACGAGTCTGGTGAGTGCTTTTCTTCGCAGCGAAAACACCTTTTGGAAACTCGGGAAACGCTTGTTTTCAGCTTCGAGGGGTCTTTGTTTACCTTTTCGCGTGCGTTTACGTCATGTACATCAGCTGATTGTCCGCCGCCTTCTTTGATGATTGCAAGGCTGCGTGCTGCCACCTCGTGAGCAGGGCACATATCATGCGCTTTTTTTGAAGGTAATGTTTTCTTCCGCGAGCAGTCGTCGTTGAAGCCCGTCATCGCGCACGCCGCATACGAGTCTATCACGCAACATAATCTCAAAGTTATCGAATCCACAGCTTTCGGCCAACTGGCGTAGCTCTTTGATGTAGACGGAAATGTATTCCTCGGGCTGCTGGTCCCGCCGATAAAACTTCGGGAAACGACCTCTGACGTACGAGGTGCGAAATGATCAGACAAGGCCGTGATTATTTCCTCGTAGGTCTTTTCCGTTACCTTCATTGGTGCTATGAGCGATCGAATTATGTCGTAGGTCGCCGGTCCGCAGATGCTCAGAAATACGGCCTTTTCTTTCCCGCGTCCGTTATGTCGTTAGCGGTCAAGTAAAAGTCGAGGCGTTCCTTGTAAGAGTCCCAGCTTTTCGAATCGTTAACGTTGAAATGTTCAATATTTCCGAAGGACGCCATGTTAACTTTTTTCGGCTGGCGTGTCGCGCTTACGTACCGGGCAAAGTAACACGTTTCTTCACACACTTTAGCGCGAATACTCGTGGCATCCCATCCTTGTCGCCAAAATGATATGTCGGCGGACTGGGTTTTCGAAAGAAAACAGTAAAGTTAATTAGTTCCACTTTAATATCACAAAAATACAGGTTGTTTATATGACCACGGTACCGCACGTGAAAACGTTCTTGCCTCTTGGACACATCGGCTGAAACTGCCTTTTTGGTCGGCCCGCGGTGTTGCCAAATACACCACAAAATCATAAGCGGCACTGAATCCGAAGAGTCCGGACGACCGATTCAGATTCATTTGAATTAGAATTATTGTTGTGTCTATATTTTTTGTTTTAGTTAGAATCATAGATAGTTAGCTGTCTTTAGCTTTTTATTGCATCATGATTTTATCAAAATAGGTGCGACATATTGGGTTGTTCCAGTAATACATTAATTTGTTCAAATTAAACATCTGCGTGGAAATAGATATTTCATTCAACATTCAATTCAATACATAAGCAAATCGACCAATCGATATCGCAATTCGTCTACAATTATTATAATACTCCCATTCCTTTTCCGTGGTCTGTTTCTGTCGTGCATTTCAATCTTAAACCATTCAAATGAACCGTATTCCGCAAGGGGAATTCGATTTGTGTTGGTACGGTCGATCCATCGATCGTCGTCTCACTTCAGACCGGTCAGGGCCGCAGCGAGAGCGAAAAATGTGTTCGAATCATTACGAACAAACAGGATTCGTTCGTTCGATCATTGGAAAAGATTTAATAAATGACCGAGTCAATCACGATTGACACAACTCTATTTCTAATTTATTAATTTATTAATGAGACGAATAAGAGATGGTGCTTGAGACGTCGCTTTGCAATAGAAGAGCCAGAGATGGCACCACTATGAATCAAAAGTCCCCTTGACTTTTTCACCCCATTTTGAGATGTGCGTTTTGCAAGAATTTTTTAGGCGATTTTTGTGTGTATGTGTTCATAGTTATGGGATTTTTGATTTGACTTTGTATGTTTTGAGTTTGTGGTTTCATTTAGAAAAGTGAGTTAAAATACTTGCTTACTTTAGTGTTTGGTCTGCAATTTGTAATAAGTAATTTTATATATGTATTTCCATTTGTTGTAGAACGTGCAGAGAATATTAGTAATGATATTTCGACTAAAACTTAAGCGTGCTGTGTAGCCGAACCAACATGAGGCATCGTTTTCAGAAAAACTCTCCAAACATATTCAAGTTATGAGTGGATAGAGTTAAACCAAAAGGGCCCGAAGTTTTCACAGTGGACAGAAAATATGTCGTTTGTGATTACCATTGCATTCCAAGTGATATCATATTATAAGAAAGGAGAGGTATTAAACCAACAGCAGTTCCCTGTTTGCTTATCCCCCGTGACTTTCTACATTATTTTATTTATATTGATAAAATATTGAATTATTTCAGTTATATCTGACTTATATATTTTAAATAGATATTTACTAAACTTTTTTCAGCTTGCCAGTGTCTGAATTTTTCAATTTACAATTTCATCCAACTTCTTCTGCAAAAACTTAATATTCATTTTTTTAATTTCAGATACAACTGATGCCACTACTGCAGCGACTGATTTTGATTTTTTGATGTCTGATGCAGCAAATGTAGAGATACAAAATATGGACATAGCTGCTGCTGGTCCTTCTACACAGTGTAAGTATCTATACTGGAAATTAAAATCTACATTTTTATTTTATTTCAAAATACAAATATTCATTGATCTAGAGTTGATAACACATTTTTTTTTTAATTATAACTTTATTATTCATACTACCACACAGATTGAATGTAGTTTGATAAAGTTAATCAAAAGGTACAAAATATGTGCAGGACTGCTGTTGGAACTTCTACACTTTTCCAGAATATTGCTGTCAAAAGACGTATATATTATTTTAGTTATTTCTCTGTGAGCTGAATCGTGAAGATACTAAATCAAGATACTTTCAACAAAATGGCAAAGATTTCAGATAATATCTGACACTGAATTGATATGAAGAATAGGCAAGAAGTAACTGACCAAGACCCGTTTCTTATCATAATATAAATATCATAAGCTTAATGTTAACGGGAGTAGGAAATAGGCTAATAAAATGGGGATGGAATTTTGAACATCTCAATTTGCTAATCAGTTTTTGGTTTATGAAATCTTCAATCATTTTCATTAGTTCTATATGGAAGCTATGCCCATGTTAACTACTGCATCTACTGAAAGACAAAAATTTTAATTGAAGTTGTGGCGGTTACCGAGGTAATTACTTTTCAAGTTATCGCGCTAATAATTATATTGTTACTTTTGAAGACAGGGAGGTTAACAAATAAAGAGTGGAAATGCCAAAGGGGATGGATATGTGCCAAAAGTATGTTTTTGAGATACTCAAAAAAAACTGTTTGAATTTACATATGCGGCGGGGGCACGTACGACAATTGTAATATATTAAAAAATGGCACATACCGCCTTTGACATTTCCACTCTTCAAATATGTAAATCCAGTAGTTATGTGTGTTAATTGCTGTAGATATGGGCATGTTAAGACTAATTGCATAGGAAATGCGCCTAACTACACCTTCTTGATTAAACAATATCTAATAGACAAGCCTTACTTAAATATACTTCAATCTAATTCATGAAATTGTAGAATTGGCCGGTCAATTTTTTTGGTGTAAATTGACCAAACTAATTTTAAAAGTACAATGAAATGAATAAAAACAATTTTTTTTTTAATATAATCATTGAAATAAGATAACACATCTTCATTTTAACAAAAAATAAAAACTAGAAAATTAACCAAAACATATTTCATATTTCTATTTTAACTTAAAATAATAAACAAATAATATTTAAAAGTTTTTTTGGAAATACTTTTACACTATTTCAAAACAAACAAAAATAATAAACATGGTTAATTATGAGACAAATAGGCAGCGATAAGTTGTGTGTGACTAGTTCCTTTCACAAGAAGCTGAGGAGACCGGCATTCTTAGTAGTTTTGTTCAAACCATTTGACTATCGATTTTTTTTGCTAATTATTCCACCAAGTCATGATATTTTACATATTGATTTCATGGTTTTTACGGTTGTCCATATTCGATTATTTCAATTTCTAAGTTGTACGATTAACATAGTCGCTCATTGCAGTTCTTGTGGAGCTAGATTTTTCCCTTGATATTTAGGATAAATGAATATGCTGTATTGGGCGTACCAGTACATGCAAAATCATTTTTTTTTATTACTAATGCAGTTATTTCTTCTTTTCTTCTTTTATCAAGCACAGTTTGCGACGGACAAATGGCAGAAGTATTTTCAAGAAAGGTAATCAGACGAACAAACTAACCAAAACTAAATGGAGTCGATCGATAATCGCTAAATATGTATTCCGGGTATTCCATTGAAGAGGGCTATAGGTAAATTGGACATCACAAACAAATAATCATTTATTATAAAATACACATTATTATGATAGATAGCACTCTACAAGTGTAAGATGTTATTTAAAACATTTTGATCGAATTTGACTAGTCAATTCACGGTGAACTCACTACTAATTCATATACCTCAAAATCTTGCATTTTCCGAGTCATCTAAGAAATTTTCAAAGTAAGATTGCTTCATGCATATTATACAAGTAATAAAATAAGGAAACTATTTAAAATATTTAAATATTTAATAAATCCCGTCGGGGGTTGCTAGTCCCCCATCGGGCGCCTCCCCGGGTGGCGGATAGGGGAACACCTCTCAGATATGAGTGGTACCGGGGAAATGAAATACCCGGGGTGGACCAAAACTAGCATGGCATAGGGAAGCAGCTATGACATTACTGGGTCGAGTCTACCGAAGAAACTTCATTTAAGGCTCGATACCAGAAAATCTTTGGCGACTATCACATATTGATTGCAACGGCAAAGACGCTGCATTGAGGAAAGCAACGGGAAACTACCTCATTAAACTCCCCAGGACAAATCATCAGCATGACTGGAAAAGCTAAAGTTACGGCCCTCAGTCCCCGGCAGACCTTTGATGGTCAGGGGGTGCTAAGAATCTCCGGGCCAGTCATGAGGAGGATTGCTACATGGAATGCGCGAAGTATGTTTGAAGCTGGCAAAGTCCACAATGCTATAAAAGAAATGAGAAGGTTGAACATCGAAATCCTTGGGATTAGTGAAATGCGATGGCCAAGGTCAGGTCAAGTTCAGATAGAGGGGCATCAAGTTCTGTATGCAGGTAATGATGACCGTAATCATTATAACGGTGTGGGCATCATCGTGAATGAAGAAGTGAAAGGGGCGATCAAAGCATTTGCTCCAATATCCGATAGAGTGATCTTACTGCAATTAAACGCACATCCATTTAACGTTAATATAATTCAGACCTACGCACCGACCTGCGATCACTCTGATGAAGAGGTGGAATTGTTTTACATGCATCTAGACTCGGCAATGGAACTGGTTAATAAATCCGACGTTACTATTGTAATGGGTGACTTTAATGCGAAAGTCGGGAACAGACCGAGAGAAGGTATAGTTGGCGAGTACGGTCTTGGTGTGCCAAATGAACGGGGCGATAGACTGGTGCAATTTTGTCAGGAAAGGGAGCTCGTGATTACAAACACTTTCTTCAAGCTGCCTTCCCGCCGCTTATACACATGGAGATCAAACGCGGAAACCCTGGATAGAATTGTACGAAGCCAAATTGACTTGAACTCAGACCACAACCCCGTCATAGTGTCTGTGAGAATAAACCTTAAAAAGTTAAAGACCAAAACAAAAACTAGGATGATCGATACATCTAAACTTAACAACGAAGAACTTAGAACGGAAGTCAAAGAAATGCTCAACGAAAAGTTGCTAAATACTAGTACTAGGGAAGAAGACATAGAAACGTCATGGAATGTAATTAAACATGCCTTAGTTGAAACTAGCAAAGCCAAGCTCAAGACAGAAACCCGACGTACGGATGGATGACGGACGAGATCTTAGACCTGATGGAACAACGAAGGCTTTTAAAAAACAAGAACCAAGTAAAGTACTCTCTGCTTCAGCGAGAAATTAGAAGGAAAATCAGACAGGCAAAACAGGAATGGTTGTCCGGTCAATGCAGTGAAATCGAAAGTCTGCAAGCCAAACATGATTTCTTTAACATGCATAAAAAGATTAAAGAAGCGGCCGGATTATATAAACGCAGGTCCACAGGATTACTAATGGACCAACAGGGGAAAGTCATCCTTAATACCGAGACAAAATTAAAGGAATGGTGCAGTTATATAGAGGAACTTTTTGGGGACATCAGAGACGGGCTCATGGACTTGCCAGGAGAAGGACTTGATATAACCAGGCAAGAGGTGGAACATGCAATACGCCTTGCAAAGAGGGGCAAAGCGCCAGGACCCGACGAAACACATTCTGAACTCCTAAAACTACTTTTAGAAGAACAATCACTTAACGTTGTGGTAAGGCTATTTAATTTAATTTACAGGAGTGGTAAAATTCTCAGAGATTGGCTGCTTTCGACATTTGTAACAATACCAAAGAAACAGAACGCCAAATATTGTAGTGATTACCGCACAATTAGCCTCATGAGTCACGTTTTAAAAATATTCCTGAAAATCATTCATGCCCGTATTTACAACAAATGTGAAGAGAATATGAGCAATACACACTTCGGTTTCCGAAATGGGATGGGTATACGTGAGGCCTTGTTCAGCATGCAGGTGTTGGTGCAGAGATGCCGGGATGTGTCCGTAGATGCGTTTGCGTGTTTCATAGATTATGAGAAGGCTTTCGACACCGTCCAGCACAGTAAACTCATTGAAATACTAAGGAAACAAAACCTAGATGAACGAGATATACGAATAATAGCAAATCTATATTGGCACCAGAAAGCAAAAATAGTAGTGAACGGAGAGATGTCGGATGAGGTTCGAATCATGCGTGGTGTGAGACAGGGCTGCGTGCTGTCGCCTCTGTTATTTAACCTGTACTCCGAAAGCATTTTTGAAGAAGCATTATACGAGAAACACCAAGGTATTATTCTCAACGGTACAGTTATAAATAACTTCAGATACGCGGACGATACTGTGCTTCTCGCGAGTACGCTGGAGGACCTGCAGGAACTTTTGAACTGCGTGGCAGACAGAAGTAGGGAGATGGGACTCAAGCTGAACATCAAAAAGACTAAATGGCTAGTAGTAAGCAAACATAGAGATGTGTGGGGTGATTTGGAGTACGACGGAAAACCCATAGAACGCGTCCAACATTACAAATATTTAGGCTGCATACTTAACGCAGAGTGGGACAACACACAAGAGATAAGATCCCGAATAGAGCAAGCCCGGGGCGCCTTCGTTAAAATGAAGGCCGTGTTATGCAGCCGCGATATCGATTTAGCTTTGAGGATTCGCATTCTCAAATGCTATGTCTTTAGTGTGCTCATGTATGGGGCCGAATCGTGGACGCTGACCGAAACCATGTGCAGAAGACTGGAGGCTTTCGAAATGTGGACATACAGACGCATGCTGCGAGTCTCGTGGGTTGACAGAGTCCGAAATATAGACATATTAAATCAACTAAACAAACAAACATAAGTCATACACACTATCAAAAAGAGAAAACTAGAATATTTCGGACATATTCTACGCAACACAAAGTACCAAATACTCCAACTCATTATGCAGGGCAAGATAGATGGTAGGAGAGGCCCAGGCCGTCGCAGAACTTCCTGGTTGAAGAATCTGCGGCAGTGGTATGGTGTTAGCGGCAGGACACTTTTTAGAAGAGCGGTGGACAAAGTCCAGATTGCGCTGATGATCGCCAACGTTCGATAGGACAAGGCACGCTAAGAAGAAGAAGGTCTAGGGCAAATATATTTATGAAAATTTTAAAAAATCATTTTTGTGAGCTCATTTATATAAATAACCCCATACTGATATACATACCAAATTGTGCGTACGATTAAAAAAACAAACTTCTACGTCAAAAAAATCCAAAATGACCGTGTATTTTTGTTAACGTCATGTTTTGTTTCACAAAAAAAGTAGCTAAGAACTGCAAGAACTCAAGGTTGTCTCTTCACTAACAACAAACAAAATGAAACAGAGTGTAAAATTCATATAGTATACTTATCAACTAACTATACAACACTAACTAAATTTACTCAAGGGATTAAAACCACAAAAAGATCAAAATGTTAAACCAAGATGTCACTAAACAAACAGGAAATCCACGACACAAAAAAATAATAATAAATACAAATACTATAATAAAAAAAATCAATAAGTATGAGAAACAGAATTATATCACCAAATTCACCGTCTCAACATGTATCTCCAATTGAACACAAAAAACACGACATCGACGCTTCAAAAATTTTAGAAAACAAATTATATCGTAATATCAGTCTTTAAAATAAATTAAGGCATTCGTAAAAAAAATTATAACAATCACGTTTCAATCTAAAACAACAAACCCAAGTATATTTTCTTAAAAAAAATATCTAATTCAATTTCCCGATTTTTAAAAAATTACATATTTCTTAAAAAACAGATGAAGTACAGTCCCGATTATCCAAAATGAGAGAAGTTACAGCAGGTGAAAAAAATATTGCTTTCAAGTTGAGCGAGCACGAGCATTGTCTAGTAACACAACACATTTTCTGGGGTACTCTGTGCTCTTAAAAAAAACTACTTATGGTATTTGAGGCCAACATTTTGAAGTTCAAACCCGTTTCGTCACAAGTGTAGACCTGGTCTGGTTGCAGCACTTACACCATTGCGAGTTTTTTCTCTGGAACCGTACTTACGCTTACATCTAAATCATTTACTATATTTTTTTATAAATCACTCTTATCTAATACTTGAACCGCTTTAAGTTTTTCTTGCAAGCCGATAACAACGCCTACATTTATTGCCCTGACGGTGCATTTTGTGAAATATGTCCAAATAAAACTACTCTTCTTGAATAACAAACGTTATTATACACTTGGAGCGCTCTGAATTTTTGTTTTTTGATAGTTTATTTCGGATAAACCGGATTTCGGAAAATCGTGATTCGGATAATAATATATATAAGATTATAATTCTCGAGAGAAGTGGCATGAATTAAAAATACTTAATATTATATAAAGCAAACAAACAAAAACACTCTACCTAATTGTCGTAATAACGCCCATGCTACTTTAATTGATTAAATTGAAAAAATTTAAATGTCAGTGTAGTGGCGGTTACTGGGGCAATTGTACAAGTTATCCCCACTAATGATTATACTGTTGCTCTTGAGGGGAAATCTCGTCCTGACTTAAAATTTAAAATATATATAAATGCAGTAGACATGGGTGTTAATTGCAGTAGATATGGGCAGGTTAAGACTAATTGCATAGGAAATGCGCATAACTACACCTTCTTGATTAAACAATATCTAATAGACAAGCCTTACTTAAATATACTTCAATCTGATTCATCAAATTGTAGAATTGGCCGGTCAATTTTTTTGGTGTAAATTGAGCAAAATAATTTTATGTTAGGTCTAATTGCAGACGGAAGGTACCTAACTATACCTTTTTGATTAAACAGTAATATGCAAATCTTACTTGAAAATACTGCAATTTAATTTTTATACTCATAAATTTTCAAAATAATTGTTTACGGTAATTTAAGTTTTTGCTTTCGATTTTTTATCGAATTGAAACTTGACAAGGGTATAATAAAATAAGCATCACTAATATAAATAGATTATTCGGATATCAATCATGAACGGGTAGCAATGCACTTTTCAAAATGTGAATTATCTGTTTTATTTTTTTATGGGTCCCCTCTATCTTAAACTTGTCCTTTCATTAGCCTTTCTTTATGAGTCCCCAAAAAGCATATCATCTCACCTGTAGGTTTATCTACCGTCATAATGTTTGATGTTGTTCAGTTCCATTGGAAACATATGTGTAGGTAAAGAAGGTAAAATTTTTGAACCCTTATGGATTCTAAAGTTCCGGAATCCTCAAAAACTATTTAATTTTTCGGCATAAATTTTTGTCGGTCAAAATAGATAGATATTAATAAATATATTAAAAGGCACACTTAAAAGCAATCAGGAACAACCTGTTCATAAATATAAACCAATCAAAATTATAATTTTTTTCAATATGTTGTTACAATTAAAATAATAATAAAAAACACGTCTTTAAATCTCTGCATGGTTTGCTGAAATTCATGACGCGTTTCTACATTTCGTTTCTCGAAGGTATCTATCGTTCCCAATGCGCCATGGCCTCCTCTGCAACTTCCGCTTGTTTTAAAAATCTGGAAGCCCTCTGGTCAGTACCAAGGCTTTTTTATCACTAATTGCCTCCCAATACCAATTACACTTTAATTCCAAATATCCATGATTTCCGATGTTTTATTACGACCCAATTTACAAATTTACTATCTGTAATCAACCGATCATTAAGTGAATCGAAATTTGCCAATGAGGATTTAATTTTCTGTAAACGGTCATGTAATTTTTATGTTTACATTTACATATAAACCATATATTATATTCAGTGAAAGTACTAAAAAATAAATAAAAACGTTATCCTAATATTTAAGTATCCAAACTAATTCAACCACAAATGTAAAATAATTACTAACAATCACGTTCTAATGTAAAAGAACTGCTCCAAGTCTCCATCTATTTTCTTAAAAAAATTTCTATCTAAATCAATTTCCCAGCCTCAAAAATTACCCACGTAGTTTGATCGATTTGTAAAATCATATCACTAACACCAATTTCTGCCACCAATTAATTATTTTCAAAAATTACATATTTCTTATCAAACATATTTAAAACAAAAAAAAGTATAAAAACACAAAAATTTATCAAAAATAGATACGATATTATATACTCACACTTTGTCCAACAGCTTTTTGAATGAGTATTTCATTTTTATATTTTATGTATCTGTTATCAGAGTCAGTTGATCGAATATTTGTATG